GCAGACGTTTGAGGAGGGCTGGCGAGACGAGCGAAAGCTGAACCTCCACCCCCAAATCGTCCACCAGGGTCGAAAAAGAAGGCATCTTCCACCCAAGGCGCTCCGCCGACAGCCTAAGGGCCCCAACAGGGCCCCCAATCTGCCTCCAGGAGGGGGAAGGGCCCGCAAACACAACACTCCAAGCCCCCCTAAGCTCGGCCAAGCTGAGGCCGAACTCGAAGGAGGCCGTCAGGCTGGCCCAGATCTCTTTGGACCAACGCACAATCGGGGCCACAGAACAATACCACGTGGGGTCGGCGGCGAACAGCAAAGCTGCAGTCAGAGAACGGCCTCCAGCCGTGGGGCTGAGAAACCGTCCAAGAGAGCGCCGCAGACTCGCCAACTCGTGGTCGGAGGTGCCGTGCACCTCACAGCCATAGGTTCTGCTGGCCAAGGGGCCACTAGTAAAGATACGCTTGGCGTGTCTCCCCAAAGCATCACTGTGAATCCTGATCCGATGACTTTTGGTTTTGAAGGACTTCTTACGAACCTGAATCTTAGCTCCTCTCCTGGCCGTCCTCCGAGGTTTGCCAGCTGCGTCGTCTATGCCCAGGTTGACAGCAGATGCGCAAGGAGCTCCGCCCACAGCACCAAGGCCTCGACGAATCCCCTTAGCCACGAGAGAAGCTGAGGCGACCACAGCCGCCTTACTAACTGAAATTGAACAGCCAAGATCGGACTCGATGACCACCTGCAATCGGAAAGCGGCTTCGATCAAGTCCTGGACGACGGCCCTGGGAGCCCCCGTGCACGACAAGGTGTAATCATCGATGTAAACTCTCAGCGAGACCGATCTAGGGATGCTAAGGCCATCTAAGGCCGCTAGCGTGAAGACGCGAATGAAAGTGGTAGCGAATCCGCACCCAGCTATCAAGCCTCGCCAAGCAAACTGCGGGCCCTCCACGCGGCCGTTCATGGCCATGTAGCGGCACGAGCGATAGGCCTCGTAGCAGACCCTGGCAATCTGCATGGGAAAGGAATGCTGGCGACAACGAGCAAGGAGCAAGTCGAGGTCCACAGACTCGCAGCATTTCAGAAGCTCCCACAAGACCGACCCAGAACAGTCCTTCGAAGCAACAGCAACCTCGCTCCTCACTCCTTGCCTCCAGACGGTATCGACACTGGAGGCGAAAGCGCCAGCGCAGAAATAGTCTCGAGCATTGGCCGCTTCCCACTGCCGAGCAAAGTCTCGCCTGGCACGGGCCCACAGACGATACAGAGCAACGAACAATCCGATCGGGCGGTGCCCCCCATCGGGCTTAGCGAGCATGATCAGCAGCACAACTCTCATCTGGCCAGGCAGCAGACCCGAACGTTCCCAGATCGCGATCATGATCGCAAGCACCTGCAGAGCAGGGTCCGACAGATGCTGAAACGACCGAACGTGAAACCCGTCGACAGACGAGGCGGTACGAGCAGGGAAAGAGCGGGCCGCCCGACGAAGATCCTCGACCGTGAGCTCTGGCAGAGGCTCGAGGGGCTCGAAACTAGCGCCGGGTGGGCGCGGCTCGGGAAAAGGTTGCGCGTGCCAGATCCGCGCAAATTTCTCGAGCTCAGACGATAAGAGGGCCCCAGGGTCCGACACCACCTCACCTTTGGCCGACAGGGTAGTAGAGGGGGTCCACCCCGCAGCTCCACGAATCACCCCGTGGGCGTGACGGGCTCCGTTCCCAATATTATGACGAATCCATTCCAACCAGTTCTTATGATCCTCGTGACGAGACTTGCTCTCAGCCGCAGCCAGGGCCTGGGATACCATATCGAGCACACGTTGGGGTTCCCCTCTCAATGTAAGATTGGCTTGGGGGGCTATAAGTCACAATATCTTGAACAGCCTGGAGGAGAGTCAATGGCTCACCATCCCAGGTGCCCAGTCTCGACGGAGGGTGGAACAGCTCGCCCGCAGCATCTCGCAGGTGTTGCTGCCGACGCTCCTCCGAGCTGGACGCGCTTGCCACGGTGCGGGAGCTATCGCTGACCCCCGCAACGCTGCACCGTTTTTCGACGCCGCTACAGGCAAAAGGTGGGGAGGAGGGAGGCACCACCTGACAATCTCGATCTTGACAGCCGAGGCCGTGCAGCTGGAGCCAAAGGCGGTAGCGCGAGCACAACCACCTCAAACTAGTAGCCTCTCGCGAAGTCCGCGAGATACCCGCCATCGAGCGATGCGACGCGTCGACGACGTTGACCCAGTGCAGCTGAGCCTGGCGGCCTCTCGTGCCATGAACTGGCAGCTGGGTCTGAAAAACACCTTCGAGCTCCTTTTCTGCAGCCGTACCCCACTCGCGATACAACACATCAAGGTTGAACTGGGTTCTATCAGTGTCGCCATTCTCGGCCGAAGCAAGGGCTCGGGAGGCCATGCGAGACACTAAATCCCATTCCTTAGATGGTTGGGGCAGGGGACCAGGGGGCCGTTCTTTGGGGAGCGGAGGGGGGCTGCGAAACGTGAGGGCCCGAAGAGACGCAAGCTGAGGGTGAAGTTTAACCGAGACGGGGTCGCGGGTAGCCAACTCCGAATCCGCGATTATCTTCACGCTCGCAATAGCTTGGGCAACTCTGGCCTCAACCAACATATAATCGTACATATTCAATCCTCCAGTAGACCTGCAAGTGCCTAGAACACCCGAGGGGACACAAAATTCGGCACCAAGGCGGCCGGGGACCCGCGAGGTGCACAAAGTCGAAGGCTCCATGTTGAAATCACCCCCGATCACATAAGGCAACGAGAGGCTCTTGGCTCTCGAAGCAATACACGCCAGGGTCTCTCGATTGAGATCGTCCAGACCAGCACAATCCTGCAAGTAAACACTCACAACATAGAAACTAGCCTGACCAGGGAGATGGACTAACACACCTGTGGCTCGATGATTTTTCACCCGAGGCCCAAAATCAGGGTAGTGAAGTCCCAGGAAGGACCGAGCCATGACCCCGACTCCCGAGGACGGACCCCCTCCAGGTCCCAAAACTCCAGGCTCAAAGTGCACCTTCCAACCGTTTCGAACACACCATGCCTGGGCCTTACGCAGGTCCTCGGCGCTGATGAGCTTGTGCTCCTGACGCATGACGACGTGCGCCGTGGTCAAGGCTAAAAACTTCTTGAGGGAATTCCAAGAGGTACAGTTAGCCGTGACGAACTCCAATTCGAGATTTTCCCAGGAGGATCCGTCTCGCCGCCAGTGATGTCCCGAAACGCTCGAATCATCCAAAACTGGGCAAGAAGAAGGGATCATGGGGAAGGTGGGGTCCGTCCTGGCTCGGTTACCCTGGAGACGGAGCCTTCGCTGCCGCCGCGGCCTTGGGAGCCTGAGCGCCCCCCTGGACCGTCTGGCGGGCAGCAGCTCGCACATCTGCTGGGGCTGCTGGGGGGCCCGCTGCCTTGACTGGCGGAGCGGGCGGAGGCGCCTTGCCTGCCGCAGCCGCCTCAGCCGCTGGGGCTCCACCACCAGCAACTGCAGGGGCACGCGCAGCCTCACTGTCAGAAGCCGCCGCCGCCGAACCTCCAGCTGCAGTAGGTGCAACTCCAGCAGCTGCAACTCCAACGGCCTCCGCAACATCACCGCCTTCATCACCCTGGCGACGACGCTTGTGGGCCAGGCGCTCCTGCTGCTCCTTGTGCGCAGTCGTGTGCTCCTCGGCGCGCTGCTGGAGCTCTCCGAACAGCTTCGTGCACGTATCCTTGATGCAGTCGGCCATCTGACTCTTGCGACGCGCTGCCTCCTCCAAGTCTCCTGCAGACACCTCAACATAGTCCTCGAGCCCGAACAGGTTCCCGTCGTCCACCTGCAAACCTGTGAGGCGGCCCTCCAGGATGTCGGTGAGGCTGATCGTGGGCAGGGACTGCTGCTGCTGCTGGACCTGGGGCTTGGACACTGTGAGGTGCAGCTCTGCAACGGCCGCCTTATACTCAGCATCATACTTATCCAGTTCAGCCAAGGTCGACTCCAGCTGGGCACGAAGGGTCTCAAGCTTCTGCTCCACCGAGTGGACTGCTTTGAGGTCCTTGTCCAGCTTCTTCTCGGGCCTCGCGATCTCCTTGTGAGCGGCATCGGCACGCTCCTGAGGAGGAACTGAAGACTCCTTGAGCTTCTGAAGCTCCTGCTGGGCTTGCTGCAGCAGCGCTTGGTTGCCCATTCTCTCGCACAGCTGCACCATCTGCTCCAAGTCAGACTTGCTCGCCGAGGGAGAAGGGGCTGCGGCAACAGCTGCCGTGGTGGCCTGACCAGCGGCGACTCCAGCAGCCTCACGACGAAGGGCAGCTGGGTCTCCACGTGCCTTGTCCCCCGCAGAGCCGTCGTCGACGGGGGCGTACCACCACTTCTTGCAGTGCTTGCAGTCGCTGTAGTAGCTCTCGTTACGCTTGCACCCGCAATGGCGGCAGGTCCAGCGAGGGCCACGAGAGTTGTCGCCACCGCCAGCACGAGCCTTGGGCCCCATTGCGCGCGTGCCGTCTTGGGAGTGATACCGCGCCAAAAAGGCCCGCTGTCACCCAGCCGTTATGAAGTGTCAGTGGCAGCAAGCTGAAAGATGTTTCAGCCAGAACGGCTAGGAGGAGGAGGAGGAGGAGGAGGAGGAAGAGGAGGAGGAGGAGGAGGAGGAGGAGGAGGAGAAGGAGGGGGAGGAGGAGGAGGAGGAGGAGGAGGAGGAGGAGGAGGAGGAAGAAGAGGAGGAGGAAGAGGAGGAGGAGGAGGAGGGCCCCCGTGGCCTCCCGAGGCACCCGGGTGCCCTCGAGCGTCAATGACCGTGGAGGGGCCGACCGTCCCGGCAGTCCTGAGCTACAGGCCTACCACGACATGCTCGTAGAACCGAAAGAATGCTCGAATTGCAAAAACAATGTGATTAGACCATGCACCAGATGTGCTACAACAAGGCAGTCTCAGCCCCCCCCCCAAAAAAAAACTATCAGAACACGTCTTAGTGGGCCTATAGGAGAAGCCAGAACGCTCCACCACTGCTCGACAAGAGGCCCTAACACCGGCCCAGTGTAGCGAAGCTCTGGCGCAGCCTGGGGGGGGGGCCGCCGGCATAAGACGCAGCCCTTCAGGATATCTTCCGGGTCTGGCACTGGACATCGTCGACCTCCATTCGCTCCGCCTCCACGTCGTGCCTCCACAAAGTCGACTTCTTGCGGTGGTTCGGGCAGCCAGAGGGCAGGCGCATGTAGCAACCTGGAAGCGTCGGCTCCCCGCTGATGACCTCGTCAGCCTTCTCCCAGGAGTCCTCCTGGGCGGAGTCGGCTGGCTCTGCCTCCTTGGCCCGAGCTGGCTCCTCAACGGGATTCTTCTCTGGCTCGTCAACTGGATCCTCGATCTCTGGAAGGCCTGGAACGGCTTCCTCCTCTTGCGTGACCTCTGATGGCTTCTGCTCCTCGGCCGGCTTCTGCTCCTCCGCCGGCGTGGGCTCCTCTGCCGAGGTATTGCCATCCTCCCTGGCATTGTTGGCCTTCGCCTGCTCTTCCAAAGGCTGCGCTGTCTCGGAAGCCTCAGCCTCAGACGGCTTCAGTACCTCCTCCAAGTCTGGTTCCTCAGGAGATCGAGCTTCGTCGAGCTGAGGAACGAACATGATCCTTGTGTCTGTGCTGCCACAATACTCGTCCCAATAGACCTTCCGGGTCTGGCACTGGACATCGTCGACCTCCATTCGCTCCGCCTCCACGTCGTGCCTCCACAAAGTCGACTTCTTGCGGTGGTTCGGGCAGCCAGAGGGCAGGCGCATGTAGCAACCTGGAAGCGTCGGCTCCCCGCTGATGACCTCGTCAGCCTTCTTTTCCCAGGGGTCCTCCTGGGCAGGCATGACCTTCTTCTGCTCCTCGGCTGGCTTCTGATTCTCATCCTCTTCCTCCTGGGCGGCCTCGGCTGGCTTCTGCTCCTCGGCTGGCTTCTGCTTCTCCTCCTCTTCCTCCTGGGCGGCCTCGGCTGGCTTCTGCTCCTCGGATGGGTTCGGCTCCTCCACGGGCCTCGGTCTCTCTTCCTCAGACGCTCGAACACCGACATCCTGTGGAACGTACATGATCCTTGTGTCCGTGCTGCCACAGTACTCGTCCCAATATTGCTTGCGCATCTTGCACTGGGCTTCATCAGCGTGCATGCTCTCCGCCTCCACGTCGCGGCGCCACAGGGTCGATTTCTTGCGATGCCTCTGAAGGGGCCCAAGGACACACAAATCAATAGACACAAATAACAGGACCCCCCATATTTCCCAACATTTTCTGGGTTTTTGTCTTCCCCCCCACTTCCCATATTTTCCTATGTTTCCTGGGGAATCGACGATTCATTGTGTCCGTGTGCTCTTTTCCCTCCTGAGCCTCGGGCAGCCAGATGGCAGGCGCATGTAGCACCCGGGGAGCGGTGGGTCCATGGCAATGACCTCGGCCTTCCTGCCCTCGAGGTCCTCCTCTGCGCGCGCCTGGCTCCCCTCCCCCTGCTCCTCGGCCTGGCTCTGGCCGGCCTCCGCGAGGAGGAGAGGTGGCGGAGGAGGAAGTGGCGGAGGAGGAGGAGGAGGAGGAGGAGGAGGAGGAGGAGGAGGAGGAGGAGGTCGAAGAGGAGGAGGGGGAGGAGGAGGGGGGGGGAGGAGGAGGGAGGAGGAGGAGGAGGAGGAGGAGGAGGAGGAGGAGGAGGAGGAGGAGGAGGAGGAGGAGGAGGAGGAGCTCCTCGGGCGCCAGCTCCTTCTCGAAGTCGGCGGCGTCGCCGGCCAGGTCTGCACCGCGCGGCGCGCTCCCCGCGTCCGGCCTCGACGGGCTCTCCGGCGGCTGCGCCTCCGTGGCATCCCCGGCTGGCTCAGGCGGACCCTCCCTGTCTGGCTCCTCCTGCTGAGCCTGGGTTTAAATCGGGCCTGTCCCCCTACAGGGGGGATTTTCGACGGAGAATAAAACATGTTCAAACATACTCGAAAAAATAAAAAATGCTTGAAACAGAGTCCCCATATTATGTTTTGACTACTTTGGGATATCCCCCCTGTAGAGGGACAGGCCCGACTTAATGCTGAGCCTGGGTAGTGGTGCCGTCGTAGTTCACCAGGTCGTCCAGCTTCTTTTGCCTCTCCTCTTTCTCAGGGGACCAAGCGTCCGCCGACGGGGCCGAGCCCGGCTGCTGCTGCTGCTGCTGCTGCTGCTGCTGCTGCTCATCGGCAGTCTCGTTGTCCGCCTGCTCCTGAGACTCCTTGGCAGTCCCGCTGGCGGTCTCGTTGGCAGCCCCAGCAGCTTTCTGCTCCGCGGCCTGCCTGAACTCCTGGCACTTGGCGCAGGTCGAGCACGAGCTCATCTCGCACTTCTTTTCCCACGTCTGCAGGCGGAACATGCACCACATCTTGCACGCCTTCGGCTCGTCGGTCTTGGAGTCTGGCACGGCCACCTGCTCCTCTGCCACCTGCTGCGCAGGCTTCTGCTCCTCGGGAGCCGCCTGCTCCTCGGCGGGCTTCTCCACCGCTGCGTCGGCAGACCCCCGATCCTCGGAGGCAGCCTTCTCCTCGCCGGCCTCTTCCGCCGTTGCGTTGGCAGACTCCTGGCCCTCCGGGGGCCTCCCCACCTCCGCAGACGCCTCCGCCTCTGCCCCGGCGGGCCTCTGCTCCTCGGAGGCCTCCTCCGCCCCTGCCCCGGCGGGCGCCTGCTCCCCCGACGGCGCCTGCTCCTCGGTGGCCTCTCCCGCCGCCGGCTCGGCCGGCTCGGCCGGCTCCTGCGCCGCTGGCGGCCGCTGCTCCTCCGAGGCGCTGCCCCCCTCGGCGGCGGCCTCCTGCGCCTCGGGAGGCCGCTGCTCCTCGGAGGCGTTCGCCCCCTCGGCGGCGCTGCTCTCCGGGGCCGCCCGCGGCACCTCGGCGGCGGCGGAGGCGGGGGCGGAGGCGGAGGAGGAGGAGGAGGAGGAGGAGGAGGAGGTGGAGGAGGAGGAGGAGGAGGAGGAGGGGGAGGAGGAGGAGGAGGAGGAGGAGGAGGAGGAGGCTGCGCTGCCCCAGGCGCCTCGGCCGCGGCGGGGGCCTCCGCGCTGGCGTTCTCCCTGGCGGCGCCGCCCTCCCGGCCCTCCCGGCAGGGCCTGCGGCAGGCGTGCTTCCCCTTCCGCCAGAAGAACTCCTGGAAGTCCTCGAGGCCCTGGGGCGCTGCCACGTCCCTGTACCACTCGGAGTGCTCCCTCACGCCTGTCTGCATGGCCCACTGGATGGCGCGGTGGCAGGGCTCGCCCTCGCGGGTGTCCTCGCAGGCCTCGCCGTCCTCCGAGGAGCCGTCCGGCTGCTCCTCGCTGGCCTGGGTGGCCACCGCGGCCTCGGCCTGGCACCGCTGGCACCCGCTGCAGTCGGACCAGGCGCACTTGGCCTCCCAGGCGGACATGTGGAAGACGCAGTAGAACTTGCAGGCCGCCCTCTCTGGCGCCGGGGCCTGCGCGTCCGCGACTGCACTCGACTCCTCGGCCGCCGCCGCCGCCGTGGAGCTGGGCGGGCCCCCGGCCTCCTCGGGGACGCTCGCCGCCCCCGCGGGCTCCTGCTCCACGCTGGGCACTTTCTGGGCCTCGGGCTTCACCACTGGGGGGGGAACAAACCTACCTCGCTTTTGACCACCCTCGCTTCCAAGAGATACCAAACGATGCCGAATTGCAGCCTGTACTGGTCAGGCCGCTTGACGAGGAGGCGCGTGGTATGGCTTGGTTTTGCCTGGAAGCGAAAGCGGGGTACTCCAGATTTCGTAATAGAAGGGAGGGGGTCTGGACCCTCCAAGACAAGCCATTTCAGACCTCCCCCGTGGGAGAACCCTCCAAAACATCGTCCCCAGACCCCCCCAGGCTCTCCAAGATAGCCTGGGAGAGACCCCCCCCGAAATGAGACCCCCCTCCCTTGATTACGAAATCTGGAGCAGGTAATTCACGCTCTGAACCACGGCCTCCTCCGACGCGTTCGGCGCGGGGCCAGGCAGCAGCTCCTTCTCCTCCCAGCCCTCCTCGACGGTGGCGTTGGCGGGCCCCAGCTCCGAGGGAGGCGCCGGCGGAGCCTCTGGCTCTGCAGCGGCGGTGTCGTTGGCGGCGGCGGGCTCCTCCGGAGGGGGGGCGCAGGAGGGAGGGGTGCCGGGGAGGGGAAACGGCCGGCGGAGGGGAACTGGGAGGAGGGAGCAGCTTGCTCCAATCAGCTTCCCTGTGCATCGACCGCCGTCCTCCTGCACCGCCGACGCCATTAGTTCCTGTCGTCTCGTTTTGTTGCATTTCTCTCGCTCTCTCTCTCTCTCACTCCTTCTCTCTCTCTCTCTCTTTCCCTCCCTCCCTCTCCCTTCCCCGCCTCCTGGCCGTCCGTCCCTCCTCGTCTACCCGCTCGTTTCCCTGTGGCCACCTTGAGCCCTGCTCCTCGGGCATGCCAGCCCAAGGAAACCCGAACGTCAGCCCCCTGCCCATGATTCCTTCGCCGCTCGAAGAGTGGGAGTCCTGGAGAGCAAGCGCTCCCTTGACTTCTCCCCTCTCCCAGAACTGGCATCTAGCGCGGCTGGGAATCCAACCATCGAGCATGCCCTGTCCGATGATGTTCCCAGCGGCCCGTGCTGACGCCACCTTGAGGGTCTCTTCGACCGCCCTGGAGGCCCTCAGGACCAGCCCAGGAAGCCACATCGCCTCTAAGCACACTTGATCTTGATATGGTCAACAATCTGGAGAGCCCCTGAGGCTCGAACCATTCCCTCCGCGAATAACCCAAGACCCCCAGATGCCACCGAGAACTCCTGAGAGACCTCCAGGAGGCCTAAAGAGACCCCCGAGAGGCTCTCCTCCTCCTCCTCGTCCTCTTCCTCCTCCTCCTCCTCATCCTCCTCCTCGTCCTCTTCCTCCTCCCCCTCCTCCTCCTCCTTCTCCTCCTCCTCAGTCAAAAGCCGCATCAAAAGCAACTGGTCCACGACCGAAACAGGAAGGCGTCATTTGCCGGAGACCACTGGATCCGCCGCCCACTGTTGCATGCAAACTTTGCTGGACGAAAACTGATTGAGCCCCAAATGTTCCTAACT